ACCGTCACTGTGTATCGATTATAAATATCCATTATGAACCGTCACTGCTTATCCATTATGAACCATCACTGCGTATCGATTATGAACCGTCACTGCGTATAGATTATGAACCGTCACTGCGTATCCATTATGAACCATCACTTTTTTGGATATCTGTACTTTACTTTACTATTGATATTTCTGTTGACAAAGAAAACTGATACTTTTACTCCGATACATTTCCCCTGAAACCTTCGTTACTCACTACAAAATCAAATCTATCTTTAGAAACATAATGAATCATGAGACCAGCGTCGGGGACTGTGGTGGAACAGAGACTGCAACAAGCAGGTTTGGTGAATCAGTGGTCCTAGCTTGCAAGTTAAATCATTGGTTAATCACGTTAATGCGCAATTGCAAACAAGTGCTCTCAAAGCCGCGGTGTTTTGATTCCCAGTGATGCCCAGGATGCTATATGCTATAGCTAGCAAGACTACATGAGTATAATTCCACTCTACGATGACTGATTTCATGACGGAAGCAGAAATGGAAGCACCTGCTGTAGCTGACGCTGACCGGCGTATAAACGTTGCCATGACAACACCCGAAGTTGACTTACGCGATTTGTATTATTATTAGTTTATTTCTGCAATTATAATACATGTTATGTTTACTGTAATTTTGGGTACCTTGTGTTAAACTCATTATCGTTTTGCCCTTGTTTTACTGATGATGATAGACGAGCTTTTGTTTTTGTAACATGACCATTAACCCGGAAGTTAAGCGGAGCTCAGAAAGACGACAAATGGCGGGTGAAACCAGCGAACCTTTTCTTTCCCGTCATGTTATTCTACTGCTGGTCTACCAGGCGAACACGGTAAAGCTTATTAAGTTAACTGATTAATGTACTGCAGTGGTGGGCTGTCAGGGCCTGCAAGGCCTTCTCTGCTGGCCTAAACAGAATCACAAAGCTATATCTATTTTATAATTTAATCATTTTTCTTAAATACACTACATGTATTATAATTTATATAAATATTTTCCCCATTATCTTATGTTCTCATTGCACAGCTACTGTCTTCCTCAGTTGCTCTGCTTCCAGTGCAGCTTGTTTTAAGTAGAGCTTTTATCCAATCAGATTTCACCTCTGTGTCTCTAGGTAAGAACAGAGGCAGAGGCCTGCAGACTCACAAGTGAATCCATGTGCAGTTTAAGTGAATGGGGACGATATTGTTGATTGTCATAGTGTTCAACCAATCAGATCTTTAGTTTGACATGTTGGGCGTATTCTTTGACATGTCAGAGCCTGCGCGCCGGCCTATAATGACGTCAGCATTACATGCCGCTCAGTGTCCATGTGTAGCTCTGGCTCGAGGTACAGAGTGTGCTGTGATTGGTCAGTGGGCGAGCACATGACTATCGTGAAACGAAACTTAACAGCAGAGACTGATGGGTAGTGAATCACATCACGTGATGCAGCTCAGCCAATCAAATATGGGCATTCTGACTGAGTGAGATGCACCATGAGGCAGGAGACTGAGAAGAGGAAAGACATTGCAGAGCAGTACATTCAACATTCAAGTTGTGAAAGTAAAATCCTATGATAAGCTCTTTGGGTCACAGCTTGTCATTAAGGAATGACAGTGGATCCCACAGCCAGACCAGCTGAGAACATTATATTTTCATGAATTTAGGCTTTTGCATTTTCTAAACGCTCTAGCATTATTCAAATGACTCGTACCGAACGGTTTAATATGAAGACGTACATAGTTATAGCCCTAAAAATGAATAATAGCTGTGGTGCCATCATGTGGTTATTGGGTGGTATTTCAGCTGCAGGACAGCAGTGAAGGCCCAGGTATAAAATGCACGGCCCACCACTGAAGTATTGTTATACTTGTTGTAGGTGATGAGAAACAGAGTATTTGTTTCTTTGTTGTTTGTACATGAAGCCATTTTGTGTCTTCTAGCTTTCACGGTGTTCCATGAGAGGACAATAATAAAGGTGAACATCAGTAAGAAGCTTGGACTCTTTTATGACCAGTGTGGATACACCTGCTACTCCCGAAACAAACGACGGTGGTGACGAAGACCAACACCCGTGGATCGCTAGCGAGTTAGTGAGCTGAGGAAGTGTTGACAGTTGTGAGATTTTGTTGATTTGAGTCATCTTAGCTATAATCATTGCAGCACTATTTGGCTAGTTAGCTAACTTAACGTTAGCTAGCCACCACACCATAGGATTGACAGGAGCCGCGAGAGCGCAGCATTAGGGTTAGCATTACAGTTAGCATTAGTGTTAGCATTAGGGTTAGCATTAGGGAAATCCTTCCCAGCTGTGTGCAAGCTGTGTGTGAAGCTGAACACACCTCTACCTGCCTCAGCGGCCTGTGAAAGGCTGTGTAGCATCAGGACTAGTCTTCAGCCCAAGAAGAGCGAGACGGAATTCTCGCAATTTTGAAAACCAACTTCTTTTGAAGATGAACAGGACATTGTTGAGGTTCAAGTAATGACTGGGTTGTTACTTTCGGTGCTGCTTTAGCATTGATCATGTTTTGATATTTGAGTCATTTTGTGGATGATCAGATGGAGTTATGATGGTAGCAGTCGCCCAATTGCAGATTCAGCTTGAGCAAAACCTTTGTGTTCAAATCAGGCCCATAGGAGTTTACAAGGCAGGCGTCCTTTCTCACAACACTGACCTGATGCATCAAGTGGATATTTTCTGCTGAACACAATATGATGCATTTGTCCTCTACATCCTCTAGTCAGAATGAGCATACTTACAAACACACTGTTACAACTCCTTCATAGTGTCATATTGCTTTTAGGAGAATTCATAGTAGATGCAAAAGTATACTTATGTACAATATATTATGTTGAACATTGTTGCTCCTGGATGGATCACAGCCAACACAATTATGTTCAACACAGCTCCATGTCCTTGGTCATGGTGCCACAGCACTTAAAATAATAAACTTCATAATTCTCAAAATTCTGACCCTTTGCTTTTTTATTAACAGCATTTACTTGTACTTTTACTTTCAATACTTAAGTACATTTAATATCAGAAAATTACTTTTGGTACTTAAGTACAATAAATATCAGATACTTTAAGACTTTTACTCAAGTAGTATTCTAATAGGTGACTTTTACTTTTACTGGAGTAGTTTTCCAGTAAGGTATCTTTACTTTTACTCAAGTATGGCTTTTGGGTACTTTATACACCACTACTCAGAGGTACATGTTGTACTTTATACACCACTGGTTAATACTAATATGAATACTATGTGAGCGCTTTGCATGTAACAGGTAAACAGTGATCGGTGCGTATTGTTGTGTGTGTGTCAGCATGGTGCTCGGCTGCTTTACATAAACGTCCAACAACACACACGTATCATACATCAGATGGTTGTTTTGAGGAATCTTAAATTAGCATGTAATCAAATGCATTTCTTCTTCTCCTGTAGTTCAAACAGATAACGGTGACAGTGAGACATGAAGCTGAAGTCATGACGGTGAGATAATGAAAAGGGGTTTTCACCGCTCTGCTCACGCACTGCATGCAAATGATGATTTTAAAAAAGGTCTCACGTGCACATTTACAGGAGATGAAGTGTGTCTTCTTTCTATGCTAAGCTAAGCTAACAAGCTGCTGGCTGTAGATTCATATTTAGCGGAACATATCACCTGTTGGCTGCGATGTAGCCCATGAACAGGATGCTGGCGTACATGTTCAGGTAGAAGGCGGAGGCGCCGAAGCTGCAGTAGACCCGGCGGACGGAGACGGAGTCGCTGGCGTAGTTGGTGATCCGGATCGGCAGACAGAGGCTGATCAGGAAGTCGGCGGCCGCCAGGTTCTTCAGGTAGACCGTCACGCTGCTGGACGCCTGCTGAGCGCGGCAGAAGTAAACCTTCAGGGTGAAACCGTTGAGGAGCAAACCCACCTGTAGAGGAACAGAGACGGGTACGGCATTCTATCTAAAGTCAGGATGTATTATTATTATTACTATTACTATTATTATATATACGGAGAAGGAGACTCACCAGAAACACCAGCGTGTAGACCAGCAGGAAGAAGACGTGGGCCGATGAGTCCACCTGGTCGCAGTGAGACGAGCTGCCGTTGGTCAGGTTGGATTGTGAGGACGCTCCGAGGTCTCTCATGGTTCTAAATGGTCTGAAAGAGTTGAACACAAACGGATTAGAATATTGGTTCAAACATCATCCGTCTGCATAAAGGAACCGATCGGAGCTGAATGGGAAGTGAGAGATGACAGCAGCAGAGGAAAACTCAACAGGATGTCTGATGAACCTGTGAGCAGGTAACCAGAGGAACACCTGGCATGTGCTCACGCGATCAACCACTCCACAGCTGGTCTGAACATTAGTTTCAATTAAATAAGTGAATTATTGTACAAACACCGCCTCCTTAAATATATGCAACAACAACAAAACACATCATTAGACTACAGTATATTTTATTATATTACATTATGCTTTATTATATTATGGTATATTTTATTTTGTTGTGTTATTTTATATTGTATTATATCATATTATAGTATTATTTCATATTAGATTATTTCACAGTATATTATATTTTATTATAATATTTTATATTAGTATATTTTATTATATTTTATATTAGTATATTTTATTATATATTTTGTGGTAGTATTGTTGGAGAGAGCCTAAGACGGCTGTTTCACTAGAATTGTTATTTATACTGTATATAAAAATATATAAATGCACAAATAAAGAACTTTAACTTAATGAACTGGAGCTGCTTCTACACATTTGCTTTAATTAGACAAAGGACACACCGGTGTTTCCTTTGCTTATTGCTTCTCCTGCAAACCTCCTAGATCCTCGAGATTTAGTTCAGGAATTGAGCACGAGGAGACGAGGACGCTCAAAATCAAGGAAATGAGAAAGTGTTGTTATTGTTCCTTTGTTACCTGTCGTGACCTCTCGGATCTGTTCATTCTCTAAAGGACTGAAAGTTACATTTTTTTTTTTTATTTACTAAATTCTGCTGAACAATCAAATATGAAACGAGTCGATACGACATAAATAATATCACATCGTCAGCAAAGAAAAGAACATTCAAAATACATATATCACCTTCTACTGATACTGTAAGTAGCTACATGAAGCTGGTAATATTTATGTACTTTTACTTAAGGAGTATTTGATGCTAGACTTGTACGTGAGTATTTTTACATTGTTGTATTCATACTTTTACTTAAATGAAATATATAAATACCACATCAGATGAACAGACTCAGTTAACACAAAGGTACAAACTCACATAAAATATTACAGTATACATACAACACATATAAAATACTACAGTAGAAGTAGAGAGAGTTACCTGAAGTACTCGCCTGTCTGTGTGAATCTCTGATGGGAACAAATATTTGACTTCCTTCTTCACAGCGAGACGGAGGAAGTCTGATTATTAGGAAGTCACTGCTGGTGACACCGCTGTTCATTTACATGACACACACACACACACTCACACATGCACACACATAAATACACACATACACTCACACACAAACACACATACATACACACACAAATACACACTCACGCACAAACATGCACACACACACACACAACTGTCTGAACTTTTGTTCTTTAATGTTAACAAGAGGAAAATTTTATTCAGTTTTTGTGCAGATTAAACCTTCACATATGTCAACTTGTTCATCTGTGATCTTTAGAGGAGCTTTGTCTTTATGCTAAGCTAAGCTAACCAGCTTGATGTTTAGTGTACTCTCAGTGAGGAAGTGTATTTCACAAAATGTGAAACTATTCATTAGAGCCAACGTGTTTAGACTGCCCATTGTTTAGATTTAATAGAATTTATTAATTTAATGCAACATGAATAAACATTTATTGCTGACATTGTTAAAAAAAACGTTATTGTGTCTAATGTTTGCAGAATCGTTTGGCATCACTGTTTAGCATTTGTATACAAACATTTAATACATGTTTGTATACTGACTATAATGTAGTTGGTATTAATGTTTATTTTTCATATTTATGAGGCTGCTGCATAAACACATAATGAATGTCTCGTAAAACACAGCTGTAATAATGTAGAATAAGTCTTCATGAGAGAAGTTTTAAGTTGACTGTACATCAATAAACACTTAAAGTGCTTAAAACTACAATATAGTATTTAAAATATATATTTATTAAATCATGTATTCTATAAAGACACCCACCATTTTAAAAATGTATAACAACACTCATATTAATGCAAACATTTAATATTTAATTGAACACAATGTTTGAATTCTTCTTCTTCAGCTTCTCAAACCTTAATAAGTCGGTCCCTGAACGCCACATCCCCCTCATGTTTACATCTTTTTATTTTTTTCTAGATGTGATATTGATTTTAGGAATAAACCTTATTGTTTGATGGAGGAAGTTTATCTGTGAGGAGGAAGAGAGCAGCAGCTGATATGTTAACAATATTAATTAAGGTTCAATTAACGACCAATGTGCCATTTATTAATGATGGTTACAATAAAAACTTTTATTTTGAAAATCTTTAGTATGATGTTGTGACTGCCTTTACATTTTGTCCAGTTTATTGCTCGTTATTTATGACATGTGTACGCTTCCCTCTGATGGTCTCCGTGTGTAACTACACGTCTGTTTCTGTGTAGCAGACTCTGTAGCGTAGCGTAGAGTTCCTGTAAAAAAACTTCAAAATAAAAGTCACTGTGAGCGCCACAGGGCAGTGGAAACACGTGAATATATTCCCAGTTACAGTGAAGAGTTTAAATAAGTTAATTAATGTACAATAAATGAACACAAACAACTAAAAACAACACACAATATTGTATTATATTATATTATATTATATTGTACATTTTGTGGTGGTATTGTTGGTGCCTGAGACGACTTATATATTGGAATCGTTGTTCATATGACAAATAAAGAGCTTTAACTTTATGATGCTAACCTGCCGTAGCTGAGCCTGCGGTGTAGAAATGTGATAGAATCTGAATTGTAAGTCTCTTTGGATGAAAGCGTCTAATAAATGACTGTAATGTAAATAAAACTCTTCTGTTGTCTCGCTGCACATATTAACACATATTGTTTTAAGAGAATTATTTTAATCTGATCACAACTTTAAAATGTTCTCATTTAAAATGTATGAATATTAAAGTTATTATAAGAGAGAAAAGTATGGATGTCTGCGGCAAAAAAAAGAAATATATGTCTATATATATATATACATATATATACAGTATATAAATCCTATATATACTGTATATAGGCCCTTGAATAGGGTAAGTAAAATTGTGCTTGCAATGTTTAATTAAAAGAATACGTAAATCAAATGTACAAAACATATTTACATAAAACAGAAATGGGCTTCCATAGAAAGTGAGTCATGAGACCAGAACCAAACAGCTGAAGAGTTGTCTGGAGCTGCAGGTTTGATGAGTCATCGGTTTCACTTCCTGTTCTTCTTCTTCTCTTACTTCGGTGCTTCAACAATAAATACATCTGAACATGTGACTCCATATGTACACATTTTAAAATATTTATATACAATTATACATTCTTCATTCACACGTTATGACATCATCCTCTTCTCCTTGTCTCCTCTCCTCCCTCCCTCCCCTCCTAGATGTGGCTCAGACTCTGGGCCGAGGTCATGGACCTCCTCTCCTTGTCTCCTCTCCTCCCCCCTCTCCCCTCCTAGATGTG